TATATTTCTTTTTTTTTCTATCAATTCGATATAAAGTTCTATCTGCTCAAAAAAAAAAATTCTTTGAAGAATAGAAATCCATGATGAATGATATTAAGAATCATTATTATTTCAACACATGTAAAGGGGGTGGAAAATTCCTTTACCTGTGTCGAAGAATAAAAAGACAGGTAGAAAAATATCCTCTATAATATTTTGTTTTTCTTGTTTAACCTTTTCTTTTTCGTTTAGTTATCTTATACTTACTATCAATATTTAGTTGATTCTATTGGAATAGCAAAAAGTTACGGATATCACAACTAAATATGTGAATACTGAAATAATCACACCACTTTAATTTAGATGGGAAAAGAGCGGATAAAGTCAAATAGTCTTCTTTTCAATATACATACTAAATACAGAAATGTGGTACAAGTAATTCCCCTAATTTGGTATAAAAAAATATAAATAAAAGCAAAACAAAAGCTTTTTCACAATTTTTTTATCATACAAAATTTCTAACAAAATTTTTCTTCTTTTTAAAAAATTAAAAAAAGATAAGAACTTGATATTAATAAATTCATAATCTAGAAATTCATTTCAAACAATTGAACCTTCTCAAACTGTTTTTTTTTAAGAATAAAAAGGATTTATGTCAAAATAACAGATGTCAAAAATAACAAAAGGTTTTGGATACGCAATGGATCTTGAAGTACTATTTCTGTATCTTTTTAATCAAATCTGCTCATATTAGAATTACTTGTTAATGATTAATCGAGTTTGATAGATTTATTTTTTAAAACAAAAAGAGCGGATAAAGTCAAATAGTCTTCTTTTCAATATACATACTAAATACAGAAATGTGGTACAAGTAATTCCCCTAATTTGGTATAAAAAAATATAAATAAAAGCAAAACAAAAGCTTTTTCACAATTTTTTTATCATACAAAATTTCTAACAAAATTTTTCTTCTTTTTAAAAAATTAAAAAAAGATAAGAACTTGATATTAATAAATTCATAATCTAGAAATTCATTTCAAACAATTGAACCTTCTCAAACTATTTTTTTTTAAGAATAAAAAGGATTTATGTCAAAATAATAGATGTCAAAAATAACAAAAGGTTTTGGATACACAATGGATCTTGAAGTACTATTTCTGTATCTTTTTAATCAAATCTGCTCATATTAGAATTACTTGTTAATGATTAATCGAGTTTGATAGATTTATTTTTTAAAACAAAAAGTTCTGATACTAAAGATACTATCAGGGCCATATAGAATCTATAACCCATATGTTTAACAGAAACAATTTCAGAGACTGCATAAAAATGGGCTTGGGTCGAGGTAATGCTAGGGTAAGAGCTGCTAGTTCATCGCAGAGCTACCTTGATTAATAAATTGATTTCCAGCTAATATTATGTTTTACGGTTGATGTTAATTCTAAAAAAACTCTCGTTTACTCTTCATTTTATAATAATTTTTCAGAAATAACGACTCCCTTCATTATCATTGTTGACTATTTTTGCAGAAAAAACACAAATTATTCATTGATTGTGTGAACCAGTATCTGGAAACACTCCTTAAATTTCTTTTAATGCACAAGATTGATATAGGGAGGGCATTTTTAAGATCAGCTATAGAGGGATCAAGGGTTTTTTCCTTTAAAAAAAAAAAAGAGTTTTGATTCTAGTAGGTTATTCGTTTTCCTACTCTATATTGCTTATTCTTGTATTACATAATTAAAAAGGACACAGAAATGTGGTATATATAAAACTTAAAACTTTCAAAATGACTATATAAAATAGAACTACTAAAATTGTGAAAGGCCAATTGGCTAGGATTAAAGAAAAGCAAGACTTCTGATGCAAACACGAGGAAGTGTCAAAGCATCCATTTTCGAATTGTATAAAACAAATCCAGGTTTTATCTACCATCAGATGATGATACACCAGAGATTGTAAGCACGGCTATAAAGAAACACATCGCAGAGGTTCATTACAAGATCGATCATAAAAGCATAATCAAAGACACTGGTTTGGTTCCAGAAGAGGACTATAAGATAAAACTCAAACAAACAAACCAGTATCATAATCCAGTCAGGTTCACCGCCACAAGCTATGAACATCCCGCTTATATGTAGAGTGCATAGAACCCTCCACCGTGAAAATGGTATACTTGTATTTAGCTGGCACGGCTTCTAATGACATCGAGACCCATTTCAGTTGGATCGGTTGCCTGCAACTCTACCTGAATACCATCTAGTTCTCTCTTGAACCTGTCCTTAGAACTAGCATAAATCATCTTGCTTCTCACCCTTGATGTGTCGGGACACCTTTGCAAGCCACACAGAAAATTATGAGCGTCAGTTAAAAGTGAGAGTCCAAAAACAATAAACGCACGTGTGTGTGTGCGCGCATATAAACAATGTTAGATTTCACTACCATGCAATGAAGAAGATTCTGCTCGCACATGTGTGTGTGTGCGCATATAAACAATGTTAGATTTCACTACCATGCAATGAAGAAGATTCTGCTCTTTTGGACATTCTCTTCAGTCACAAAATCAAAATCATAAACAGCATAGCGACACTCATCAGCAGGGAGGCTTGCAGTAAAATCTTCATAGCTTTGGGCAGGCTCGCCAAGCTTTTCCACAATAACCTGCTTTTGCTCTTCCTCGATCTTGTAAACTATGAAGCGGTAAGTTCTTTTAGCCTTGAGCTCCAAAAACTTCAGCTTGCATTCATCATGCACTGCCATACCAGATGCTGCATTGGCCTGTGCATTGAAATAGATATAATATATGGTAAGATGGAGAAACGATGAAACCACTCATGACATGTTTTAACAAGAACCTCTCTTATTATTTGATTGATCCATACTTTATTAACATGATAAGCCTTAGGGGTGGAGAAACAACATAAACAGCAGAGCTTCTACATATATGGTATTAATTAATGCACAATGGATCACAAATTGCTACACATAATATCCAAAGTTGTGACATCGGTCATCAAAGTTTTTAAGAGAATAGAAAGAAAGAAGTTGCAGACTGGAAGCCTTGAACATTCAAGAAGATTGAAAGATAACAGCGCCACATTGACCAGGATTTTTAAAATTTATGAACACGCTGGACCGACCTTTATTGAAAAGCACACATTTTCTCCCTACCAACACATTACGGATTCAGTAATGGACCATGCATCTTCTCACAGCCATTCCACTCACATAAATGACTGGAACAAACATCCTATCCTATGAGGCAAAGTAGAAGGCATTCAGACGATAAGGATAAAATCACTGAAGGCATTAGGTTTCTAAGCTGAACACTTGAACTCTGTTTGTTATTAAGTAATAGAGAATAGAAAAAAGAAGTGAAGTTGCAGCACATAGGATTTTGTGACAATTCGTAACCTACTAGTTGATGTTTGACAAGAGAAAGTAAAAAAACAAAGCCACTATGTAAAAAAAAAACACTTAACCGAGGCGTTTGCCAAGGGAAAAATAGATTTTTATTATTATTATATAAAAATGAGACAGATTTATATAGCTAAGTGAAGCTCTAGCAATATTAGCAAAATGTTAATAATAAATTAAGATTAAAAAAAATAAGGGATCAAAATCAGCCATTTTAGACTACAATTGTACAGACAAGGATTCCATTAAGAACAAAAAAAAAGAAAAAAGAAAAAAAGAGTTTCAGATAAAAGATGGTATCATGTCTGAATCGTCATCTTGGAACCAAACTAAGATATAAAGCAGAATAAGCCGAATACCCTAATCCAACTTGTTCTCGCCATGTTAATGGTTTTTCCAGTTTCCAATCCATGTACGTACTATTTTCCACTCGATTGCGCGCTAACAAGAATTTTGCAGGATCGTGGGCTATAATTCCTCATTCGTTGTTGGTAAGCAAAGACAAGATGGAACTTGATGTAAATAGCACCCGACATATATAGATCAAATTAAAAAAACAAATCAAGATCAATGGATCAGACATTAAAAAAAATATCAAGTCTCCAAACCAGAAGATATTAAGTCGAAAGATCTGAGAATCAAAATAAAGTAAGGCAAAATCAGATCTATAAAATTTAACTTGATCGCCTGTAGTTGCAAATCATAGATCAAAACCAAGAATTTGTTCGATGCAATAAAGTAAAGAGTGAGAAAGAAGAGACTGACCATGGTTATAGGAGGAACGGAGGTTGTCTAC